CCAGGAAATTAACTGACCAGAGTGTGAAGCTGTTTACTGAACTTCGTCTAGTACTTACTTCATTTCCATATATCTTCGAAACAAAGGAAGAACTTTATATTTTGCTTCTACTTGTTAAAGTTTTGTTTTCTTGGCTGCAGTTGTAATTATTGATTTTGGGGTGTGTTAAGACTTAGTTTTACATACTGAATTGAAATATTTTTTGATATCACAGGAAGCTAATTTTCTTCTAATTTTACATTGTAATTCAGTGCCAGCAACCTTTCTCAGAGGAAGATATAGTGATTCTTAACCCAACACCTGAAGATTTGGATCTGATGAGGACAAGGCTGGAGACTCGCCAGGCTCGCGTTAAAGCTGGAAAGAAAGCTCATAATCATGCAGAATACAAAGGACATGCTAATGCAACAGTTACATCAACAGAAACATCAAGTAATAGGCAGGACATTACAAAGAAGTTATCAGATCAGTCAACCAGAGTCCATGATGGTAAAGAAGAAACCAGTTCATTTGTTAGTGGAGAGGAAGAAAGACAGAAATCAAAATTACAAAATGGGAAATCACGTCCAAAGTTGTTGCTGAAACATGACGATAAGCTGAATGGTATGTTGATGGTGTCTAGTTTTATGTAGATGTTAGTTTAAAGTATACTTGATAGTAAATTGGATGATTTTGGGAAGTGCCAATAATGTAATTAATCATTGTGAATTCACGTCTATTGGATTGTAACACCATGCATTCTTATAGGTGGTTACATTCCTCTAAAACATTGGTAAACTGTATAAGAGTACACACACTGTGTATCACTTGTATGTTATAAATCGGCAGTGACAGGCTGTTTAGAAGGAAAAATACTTGTTTCAGATTGGTTGAAGAGTTAGCTTATGTTGCTGTAGGAATGTGTATTGAATAATTTTTCTAAACTTATTTGCTTTTTAAATGTTGAACACATGGTGTTTCACATTTTAATTTGGTGAGAAATTGAATGTATTTTTTTTACAGGTATCAAAAATGCTTTACCGACTAAGAGACAGATGGGGCATGACATTGAAGATCCATTATTCAAGAAGACACGAAGGTCATATAGTGTGGCCAGTGATCCAAAAGCCACTGATGTTTTTAAATCCTTGTTCACATCCCATCAGAAAGCCCAGCAACAGACCAAAGCACATTGGATTACTTACAATCCCTTTTATAACTGATATTGTTGTGTTTATGATTATGAATTTCTGTTTTATGAAGCAAGAAAGCTTATTATTATTCAGTTGTGAGAAATGTGAGATTTGCAGAACTGACAGGTTCAGAGTTCATAGTGTGTAGTAACATATGGAAAATAGTCAATCAGTTACTCAGTTACTGTTTGTATTCATAATAATTATTGTGCTTTATAAAGCTTGTTGAATTTGAATTATTAACCATAAATATGAGAAGTGCACTTTTACTTATTTCTCTTTTCTATTACTAACTCCTGACTTTGGGAGCAGTCTTCCTTATACAGTCATTGACCTCATGTAACACAAGAGAGGTTATAAATGATGTGTAGTGTCTGAATTTTTCTGCTGTACATATAAAGACCATTGACATAGCAGTAAATGTTATGACAGTTCCCACCGCTTACATCAGTGGTTTCAAAGAGACGTGTATCACCTTCAGTGTGACTTCGTACTCCTCTTTGCAGATTGTCTTCTGAATTGGACTCTATTATTTGATCATCGACATACAGTAGTGTTTTAACTTTGTGTTATTTTTAATTCTGATTCTTTCCTTGTATATTTTATTCCAGTGAATAATTATTTCATTCAGATAAAGATTAAATAGCATAAGGGACAGAGACCATCCCTGTCTGACTCCGCTATTTATTTGTTCCATGTCTGTGATTTTAGTATTTAGGTTTACCTTTATTTCAATGTTTTTGTAGATTTCAATTATGTTTTTTAGTAATAGATTTCGGATGTTTTTCTCTTGAAGTATTTTGAACAATGAGGTTCTGTTTACGATATCAGAGGTTTATTTCGACATCTAAAAAGGCCATACATGTTTCTAAATTACTTTCCTATGTGTATTCTATTAGCAGTTCCAAAGTAAATGTACCATTAATACATGTGCTACCTCTCCTAAAACAATTCTGATATTCAAGAGATTGCAAAAATTTCCAACTTGTTAGTTATTTTGCAGCAGATATTTAAAAGACTCTGTTGTTCCAGCAGGTATTTAAAAGACTCTGTGGTTCTGTGGATTTGTTTTGTCACCCTTTTCATAGATTGGAATCAAAATACTTCTTCTCCATTCTGTCAGGATTTATTTTGATATATGTATATTGTTGAAGAAATTCAGAAGTCGGTTGTGAAATTTATTTCCAGCATATTTGTAGAGCTCAGAGTTTATTCCATCTTCCCCTGGGGATTTACCATTTTTATTTTCTCCATTAAAGTTTCTAATTTTGCTTGTGTAAAATTATTTTCTGAAGTCGGTATTGTTTCATCATAAGTCCTATGATGCCATAGTTCCCTGTAGTAATTTAAGAATCATTCTTTAGAGCAGCATGTTATATTAACAGATTCTTTTATGTCTTTTTTCATGTAATTCAGAATTTTGAAAGCACATGTTCTTACTCTATTAAATCTGTTTCAAGGTATGAAATAAATGTATCGCAATGCTATGTCTTTGTTGAACTACTTTTCTTGTAGTAACTTTTAATTTCCACTTCAATTTGCAACTCACTGGACAATGGAGGAAATGATCACACAAATTCTGCCCTGAAGCTGAAATGCCACTTATTGACTAGCAACAAAGTAATGCTTTCAGAGTAATATGTAAAGAGAACTTGGCTGATTTTCATCTGCTGTTAACAGAAATTTAGAAAATAAAGATTACAGGTAGTCCTGGAATTACGCTGGGGATGGGTTCCTGGACGAACTGGCGTAAACGGAATCAGCGTAAATTGAAACTCTTTTATAATGTAAATTAATGGGAAGTCAATGACATGCGTTCCCAGCACCCAAACATTGACGAGTAATATAATGGCATTACATTTAAAGCTCTGAAATAATGTAAATAAAATAAAGGGAATTTAAAAAATATATTTTATTTACTTACAATCGGCAATTCGTTGGTCCCCGCGATTGACTGCGATTCTTTCATGTGATTGATGTGTACAGTCATCTCTGCTGTTATGCGATAGTTGCATTCATGTAAGATGCTGACGTACAGAAAATCGCGTAGTAAAAATAAACCCAGTACATTCGCAGAGATTAAATTAGTCCTTTGAAAGTTTAAAGTGCCAGGAATGAAATTGCATAAGAGCAAACTTGCATATGCAAAAGTTTGCATTTCACAAACATCTTTTACCGATTCATCGATTTCATTGGAGCAAATTCACGTTAACGAAACATACGTAATTGCAGAGATGACTATTTATAATTTTTATTCAAAATCAGCGATGTAAGAATTACGATTTAGTATACAAATCAGTACGAGATACATTGTAAAATGTTATAAATAATAGTTATTATATTTTTTTCACTTTTTGACTTGCTGGTTTAAAAATCGGTGTTATTCTGAATATTGTCACAAATTGAACCGGCGCAATTCGAGGGCTATCTGTATAATGGATTGTGAATTTATTGCAGACCAAGTGTACTTACTAATTTCTTTGTTTGTAAAAGGAATTCATAATTCTATTGTTATATTAAGAAAAATCTACTGTTTTCTGACTACATACATACATACATCTTTAATACATTTCATGGATCCATAAGTTAGTCAGATGACAATAGGATTTAGAATAAGTCATAATAATACAATACATGTTATACAAATACAAGTCATATAAATGTCACAAAAATACAAACAAAGTATAAATTACGACTTACTTGTAGACATTAGGAATTCATCGACAGAGTAAAAGGAGTGTGTAATTAAGTATCTTTTCAATGCTGGTTTAAATTGTGCCTTTTTATTTACAAGACTTGAGACATTTGATGGTAGACTGTTGAAAATTTTGATCCCTGCATAATATGCACTCTTCTGAAAACATGAGAGGTTGGCAATTGGTCTATGAAGCTGATTTTTATTCCTTGTGTTGACATGGTATATAGCAGAATTAGTTTGAAAGAGTTCTTGGTTATTTACAATAAAGTTCATTAATGAAAATATGTATTCACATGGAAGAGGTAAGATTTCTAATCTCTTAAATAGACTTCTACATGAATTCCTAGGTTTTACACCAGCCAGTAATCTAACAATTTTCTTTTGTAAAGTGAATATCTTTTTGATGTTTGATGAATTTCCCCAAAAAATTATTCCATATTTCATTAAAGAGTGAAAATAGGCAAAATATACTGATCTGAGTGTGTCAGTGTTGCTGGCATGCAACAGAGATCTAATTGCGTAACATGCGCCACTTAACTTAGGTATCAGTTTATCAATATGATTAGTCCAATTTAGGTGATTATCAATTTGCAAACCCAAGAATTTTGTGTTTATTGACTCTTGTATATACTTCCCATTATAACCAATACTTAAAGCACATTGTGGTGAGTTATTTGTTATAAATTTTATTATATTCGTTTTATCTAGATTTAGGGCCAGCTTGTTAGCAGTAAACCATTTACTCATATGAGACAGAACTATGTTTGATGTTGAACAGAA